CTTTTTGTAAGTATTTTTTTGGGACCATATACTAATATGAAAAACTTCTCTAAAACTTCTCTTTAACGAAACTCTCCGGACTGGTTGCTTGGCCGAGGTCTACTGATACTGGAGACGGTTTCGGTTATGTAGTTCCAAGTGGCCAGTCTGATTTAGGCGGTGAAAATAAATATATCGTGGGATAACCCTTGGTGTGTCCTGTTGTATATTTTTTTTACCATTCTCAAGCGGACGGACGGAACGGCAGAATCCGAAGAAAGAAAATCAGAAACGAGGATATTACGGTTAGTGTGTATTTTTATTAAAATTTTTTTTTTTGAAACTAATTTGATTATACTAATTGAAAATTTTCTAATAAAAATTCTCAAGCGGGGGAAGGAAGGGCGGACGGACGAAACGGAACAGTATGGAGATTGGAATTTGAAGAAAGAAAATCGGGAGCGAGGAGGATATTATGGTATAGATTTAAATTCTTCCTTGAATTTAATTTGATTTTTGATTTTTGATTTTTTGAATAATTTCTAATTTATTTTTATTTTTAATTTTTTAATTAAGGATGGATGGGATATGGACATTTATAGGAGGAAAATAATAAATTTATATAATTTAATTTTAATGATAATCGGAATATTCATGTAATTTTTTATAGTGGTTTTATAATAAATTTATCAACTGTAAAAGGAAATCTTGAGCTAAAATTGAAAATTTAATTATTTTTATGTTTTATTTTTTAATTTTATTTTTACGTAAATTCTTTAATTATACAATCGTTTGATGAATCAATTATTAAATAAATTTTGAAATATAATAAACAAATAAAAACATTTGGTAAATACTTTGAACGTATAACTTATTAGATATTAAATTTATTCTAAAAACAAAAAAATTTGTAAAAATGAATTATTCGTTTGTTGTTGATATAACGATAAATTATTAGTTAAATTTGTTAAAGGTGTAGCCAAAGTCCTTTTTTTAGTCATGATAAATAAAACCGTTTAAAAAGGCTCAAACACTGATCGACATCTTTATTTCAATTGATCGTAATGCTTGTGCACCATCTCAACCACTATCCAATCACATTGAGGGAGGTGCGTGAGAACGGCCAGAATAAAGTGATAGACATATATTATTTTTTGTGAAAAGCTATTGGTGCAAACTAGCGTGCTTGGGAAAATACCGATATGTGAGAAATTCATCCGTTGCACAAGCCCACATTATCTGGACTAAAATAAATATATTATTTTAAGGGCGTTCTCAAGCACCTAACTCAATGAACCGGAAACCGGAAATGAATTTTTAATTAGTATGAGTTATGAAGAAAATCCTATTGATTGAAAAATACGATTCAGATAATCTAAATCACGCGATGCAAATTTTAACTTTTTGGCAAATGATATTGTAATGTGGGTGGTCAAAATGGGACTTATGTGCTATAAAAAAGGTAAAAGATAAAGATAAAATATTTCGACAATTTTCAAGTAAATATAACACAAAACGTACGCCACAAGATATAATTGTTGGCACCAAATAATGCTTTTGGAGACGTAAATGTATTCTAAGTTATATTACGAAATAAAATGGTTATAAATGCTTTTAACTTTCGGAAGACGACAAAAATTTTTTTGTTATTACGAAATCTTATTCATTAAATTGTTAATCACCTGTAATCAAAATGAAATTCATCAGAGTACTCAATGTACATGTTATGATGATATTTATCATCACTAGTTTCATCACTTCAGCTTACGGAATTATGTGTGGTCCTCTCTCAGGTTGTGATTTATGTCTCAAATTCAAAAAAAGAGGATGGTGGTCTTGTAAGTATTTCAATTATTGTCATAATACTGTATTGGAAGAAGTAAATTTTTATATTTATTGATTATACATTGATTTTAAATAATAATATTAGGTGCATCCCCTCAAGGAGAATACCGTTGCGAACCTAAAAATTGTAAATGTGGTCCTGGTGGCCAAAATGGTAAATGCGGTGAATGTGCTGATGAAGTCACTGATGTTGGTAAATGGTTCTTTTATGAAAAATGTGATTGTTCTGGCTGTTCCGGTCCGTACTAAGTTTCGACAAGGATTTTAATATCATTTAATATAGCTTTTGTTGTATTAGCTTAGCTCTCCTTTTCTCGATATTATTTATACATAAACAATAAATTTTGCTTTGAATTTTTAAATATGTATGCTTGTATATTGTGTAATTGATATGTATCGGAAAAAATTGTGTTAGTACTTGTTATTCATGATGCATAATATTTTATGCCATTTTGATATACACCCATACTTTATTATTTACGAGATAAAGCGTTGCCGATGCAACTAATACAATAATATGTTTTTGTGAATATACTGCGTTACATAGTTGTATATATCCTCCTCTACAAGAACATGGTGAGGGTCCGTAGTGAGATCCTCACCGAAATATTTAGAAATCGAGGCCCCTTGTCGCATAATATGTATCTTACAGGCCAAGAACGAAATGCGCGAAGATAAAATGGAATATTCCTAAATGCTTGAATGGGTGTGGTAACTGTTGTTGATTCTGAGTGAAAGATTTTCGACTGATGGAGATTGTGATTGTTTGCTCAAGTGGTATCAGTCATCTCATTTTCCTAAATATAAGGCCCATAATAAATAAAACCGCTCCCGTGTAAGCATATCTTCTAACATACACATACCTTAAAATTTTTCACAGAGAGGTTGGCTGAACTTCCACATACCATTACATGCTTTATATCTTGCCGGGAAAAAGTTAAATGAAATATGAGGTGTGATTAGCATTTGTAGTTTGATACCAAGAAAGCTTTGAAAGCACATGCAAATGGATTCTTCATATCTTTTCACTTGTAAATCTGCCTTACAAAACGCAAAGATAGCTAGCTCTTATAGATCTCAAAATTGCAAAATCCTCAGCCTTTCATAACATTGTTGCATATACACTACCTACCCAAAAGTTTAGGACCACCCGTCAAATTAATAAAAATCACGTTTTTTTATCGATCAATATTT